ATACATTATATATATATATATTGTTAGGCTTTTCAGTTAATTTTCTTTAGTTATATTTAGCCACTATGAACTTTAAAAGAAACATTGCAACTTCACATTGACATACACTAGCATCTAGGATTTGAACCAGGATCTTCCCTATTAATAAAGTTACTTAGACCTCTCCCTTAGCATAAGACCTCGCTGGGAGGTGTGTAGTCAGGAGCCTCAGGAGCCTCCAAACAAGGCATAGGAGACGCCCCAGAGACCCCTACTACCTACTTGACGATACAGCCTTATTCAAAGAAGTCGCCTTTGTCGTTTGTCCATGATAAAGCCTGAGGACCCAACCAGGCTTGGGGATATATCACCTAAGTCAACTGTGTTGTAATAGAAATATATGCTATTTTTGATTCAATACAATATATATATATATATATATATATATATATATATATGTATATATATATATATATATAGACTTCTCTACCTCTCTACTTATGTAGTATATTGATCTGTCAAGCTCATAGATAATTAGATACCAAGAATCGAAATAATATATGCTCTTTCTAAAGCAGATACAGTTTATTTTAAATTCTTATATTTCCCGAAAGTTAAATAAGGATCGGAAAAAGTCACAGTAAATTAATTCTCATTTAGAAAATGAGTTTAGAACAAATTACCAATATTTAATTTGCCAAACATTTTCATTTTCTGCCGTGCACAATTTTGCTTGGATATTTAAAATCTTTGTCTACTAAATACATAGGAAACTTGTCTAAGTAATCGAACTATTAAGGCAGCTCAGAAAATCGGTTCAAGTTCCACTGGTTTTAAATGTTCAAGCCAATGTTTAAGGGCATGGGACCGCAGATCCAAGAGAAAGATTGATATTTTGTAAACATAAGGTTTACTATTAAATATGTATATGTATAAAATAGGGCTGACCAGACAGAGCGTATGTACCACAGAGGAAGGTTGAAGCCGCAAGAGTTGGACTCTAATATAATAAAAATAATAGTTTTAACCTTTGAAAATTTTGATTTGACAGCTTTGAATTTAAAGTAAACCGACTTAAAGGTTTTTCAATTTAGGGCCTTGACCCTAATTGAAGGAACGCCGAAAGGTATGCATACACACACGCACACCCTTTCTTCCACTGTCACTCTCTCCCCCTCTTTCACTGCCTGCTTGCCTCTCTATCGGGCCATGCCACATATTTTTTTTTTCAAGGCGGCTTGGTTGAAACTAATACACGCCAATTTTCAATACAGAAAATCGAACTTTGAAGTGGGCGCCGACGCGTCGCGAGCTATTCTGAGGACCGCAGCCGCGGGGCGGTGGGGCGGCTCCTATGGGGCATGGTTGAATTTTGCTTGCAACGCGGCTGCTGCTACCGCTGCTGCACATCGCGTGCATTTCTTTTTGGCTTGGCCAAAAACCACTTGAAACTGTTATTGATGAACACGCGCAATGAACTGAGGGCCGAGGCAAGGGAGGAGATGGAACAAAGGCCAGCTTACGGACGCCAGCTGCTGGAACTGGAGCTGCTGCGGCTAAGGATGGGGCGGAGGACACAAGTGCGAAGCTGGGGGAGGGGGCATTGAGTTGTCGCGGCAACGAATGCGTTTTGTGCGTGTTAAAGCACACAGAAAATGTGAAAATATGAAAATGAAAACGAAAATAACGTTGCATACTTAACGGCGCAGTCGACAGAGACAGGTGGAGAGCGGGAACTGGACGGCCCGGCACTTTACCACTTTTTATGCTTGGCGATAAATTAAAATTTTTATTAACATACTTTTCTGTAAGCAACAGCCTTTGCCCCCAAACGTCAGCTTGTCCAGCACTCGACGCTGACGCCGCGGACGACAACGCTCTGTGCTCCAGAGCAGAAGGCCTTGGAACGAGAATTTCCTGTCCAAGCACTTTTTACGACTCTTGAACAGCGCACGCAAACTCTGACACCACCATACCCCAACCCCAGCTAGCAGACCTTATGCTATATACAATTATAATTTGTTGACGCGCTGGCTCAAGCATAACAAGAAAAAAATGCTTGCTCAGTGACAGAGTTTCAAGTCTGAAGAGTTTTCCTCACAGGCGCAGAGGCCATCTCATTTACCAGGAAATGCAGGCTGTGTCTTGCAGCAAGAAAACATTGTTATTATCATGGCCAATAGCCACTGCAGACGCAGCGAAAATCAATTTTTTTTTCATTTTAAATTATGCATACGAACTTTACTAAGGGGCGATAAAAAATTTAGATTGAAAATGAAATCGAATCGAAGTGTTAAGGAGCAATAAGTATAAGTATTGACAATGAATAACAAGTTTTTCTAGAAAGTTTTTTGGAAATTTAAATTCATATTTTCAACAACCGTCAGAATTGACGGGAACCCCTGTGAGTCTCCATGGGAAATGTTTGAATGCGAGAAGCAAGAAGTTAAGCTTAAAAGTGAAAAGATAGACGGAGAATGAACCAATCTGAAGACTAATCAAAATCCGACCAAAAAAAAATTTTTAAAAACAAAGGCGGAGTTTGGTCAAAAATAAACGTAAAAGAAATATACGTAAATATAGCATTTTCTGAATTTTATAAGAAATGTACAGAAAACTTTTGACCGCTTTGCAACTCGCGGCTATATGCATCATGCTGGCACGCGAGCAAAGTTCTGCAATTAATAAATAAAACAAAATTGTCTAAAAAACTTAAATTTAAATAATTTTTCTGCATAATTATACCTAGCAGCTTACAGGATAATTGAAACTTTAACCATAAATGCTATTCGCGTAATTGAGCTATTTAATTATCGTACGGATTAATGAACAAATTTATTTCATTTTTTACCGAGATTACAAGCTTTTGTAACTGCAATAAAAAAGAAATTAGCTCACAAACAAAATATCATTTGCTATTCAAATGCAAATACACGCAGCTAAAGTCCCCCCGATTACTGCATCCCCTCACATGTCTATATTTTATTGTTTATTACAAATAAAAAGAATACAAAAAATACAGCGCATTTAATTAAAAATTAATTGAAACATGTTTAATTCCACTCGGTATTTGGACGTGCAAAACGGCACCTAAAGGTACTCGAAAATTCAGCAAATGGCACGTAGTATTGGCTCCACAATTTTAGCCCCGCCCCTTCCCAATAGTGTCTTTTGCAATGAAATGCAAATATTTTTCACCATAATTGAAGCAGGACAAATGCGAAGGGGAATTGTGACTGTGAATGTGAATGTGAAAGCGAATGGGAATGGTAATGGAATGAATGTGTTTGTGAATGAGAGTGTAATTCAATCATGACTCGGCCAACCAACAAACAAATAAACAAGCAAGCACCTCAATATACGAGCAATTCAATTAATTTTTGTATTACAAATCACAAAAATAAAAAGAATTAAATTAAAAATAATAACATTTCAATGCGATCAAGAGCAGGACAAAAGAAAGGGAAGAAAGCGTAAAAAGTGCCGAACAACTAAAACACATTCCAAATTAAGTTTGCTGCTCATTTGAATATTTGATTGCATATACCCTACATCAAAATATATATGTGCTGGGTATGTAAGCAATATAAACGCCTGCTTTGCTTACAAAATGTTTTTTAATTGAATTTAAGATAAAAGATATAAAAATATATGGCGCAATAATAATTGGCCCCGGCCCGAGGGCGTTGTTATGGGGCGTGCCGCTGACAGCAGCAAAAATAATATATATGTATATATATATGTGTATATATATATATATATATGTTTATATATATATATGTAGCTACATCTGTGTTTATATCAGAACAACAGTAAATTGCAGTTGGACAATTCGCGTACATTAACCGCAGATGCATCAGGACAATGGAAAGGGCAAATGGCCTGGCCAGGACCTCGCTGCAATATTTATTGAGAGGCTGCCTGCGTGAGTAAATGACAATTTTATTGCGCACATTTTGGGCCGAAGCTCACTCATTAAAAAAGTACAAAGGACCCTCTGAGGTAAATAAAGGCGGCTAGGGATTTTAATCATCACACAATTTCAGAACATTTTTATTTTTATTGCTGGTGTCTGAAATTTAAACTGCCAGGCGATTTATAAGGACAACAGCAAATTGAAAATGTCATTAAATGTGGTTTCACATGAACAGCAATACAATGGAAATGCGATGGTCTATAGCGGGGGTCTCAATGCTATCGCATAGGAAATGGAATATTTAGTTTTGATTAAGTGTTACTTAATAATACATTATAGATAAATATAGTTTCCAAAATACAAAACGAATCTAGGCATCAAGTAAAGAAACAATTAGGATTAAAAAATGTAGTATATAAAAACAGAGAGGTATCACATTAATAAGTTCGATGACAATATGTCTATTCTAATGGTGAAATGACTAGGGAGAAAAATTAATTTTGAATAATCAAGCAAGGACGAGATGTCGAATATAAAAACAAAAAGGCAACATATATTAAAAAATATTAAACTTATTAACTATCAATATAAATAATTTATATTTATTTTTTAAAATTGTGAAGAATTCAATTAAAATACTCTCTCGAAACCCGGAGCTTAAGTTCAGAAATAATATTAAATAATTTTTCATACCTAATACACAGTTAAAAGACAGAGTCTTGGAAATAATTAATAAGATAAAAAACATTAACACATAATATTGAATGTTTCCTCTTGCTTTGACCTAAAAGATTTAAGCAATGCTTTGGACTCCATAAAATGTATACTAAATTAGTGACCTATATTTTAGATTAACTTCTGAACTTCTCCTCGAATTAATTTGGATATCTGACTTTTTATATTTAGACCAATATAATGACTAAAGAACACACCGCTGTTGAATTTCTTGCTTTGAGCTTTAGAATATGTGGAATATTTTATGTTGAAATGTACAGAAAATATATTTATAACTGCTGAATAATTTTAAGATCCATTAAGAGATGTGATTTGCTTTTATATTGTCTTTAATAGATCTTTCCAATTCATATTTTGGAATCGAACTTACCAGACAGAAGAGTTTATAATTTGATCGCTTCGCTCGGGAAGTAGACCTGAACTTAGGATGTCCGAAATGGAAAGTTTTCAATTTTCGTTAAGAGGTCGTGTGTATGTCGCGCGCCAAAAACTATGCAACACAGACTGTGAATGTCTTCTGGTTCCGTTGCTGGTCGACTGCCGCCGTCGATGTCAACGCCTGATGGCTGGTAATGTGATTAGTTGCCTCTGCCGTGTGTGTGTGGGTGTGTGTTTGTGTGTGTGTGAGTGTCTTGTGAGTAAATTTTAATTTAATTATGCCCTCGTCGCACTCCTGTTCTCCGCCCCGCTCTTCAGTTACGAAAAAACGGCTCAAAGCAAACGAGCGCAAACTAAAGACACGCACCAATAAACAAAGGCAACAATAACAAACAAACAAAAGGCAGCTGAACCGACAGAGAGACGACTGCGGGGTACGCTTGCGGCAACGGTCCCGAGCACAAGTCTAGTTCGCTCGACCGACTATAAAAATAACCAGAAGCGGGCGCGCGAATGTCGAATGAATGGCGAATGAATGTGGAATGTGTGGAGTGCCAAACTTGATTCGAATGCGAATGCGAATGCGAACGATACAAAACGGAACCTCAGTCCGTTCAGTTGGACGCTGGCGCTGACGCTGACTGCTGGCTGCTGTCTGCTCTGGCTACTCTGGATACTCTGTCGCTGGCTTTGGCTCTGGCTAACTGCTGGCGATGGCTGGCAATCGAATGCAACTGCTGCCGCTGCCTGCTACGAGCGACTGCTCGGCGTCTCTGTTGCATACGCCAAGGCGACCCACGAGAGGAACGCGCGGCAATGGAACAGTCGAGAGTCGTTGCTTTTGAGTGCAACTTGCAGTTTTGAGTGTTCCGGAACGGGTAGAAAACTGTGAAACAGTCCAAGTGCACACCTGTGCCCAGAGAGGGTTTGAGCCAGCGGGGGTGTCAGTTTGCTTGCGTGTAGGTGTGTGTGGGGGTAATTGTATATTGAACTAGAATGCTAGACGAAAATTTAATTGAGTTTACGATACTTACTCCCTACTTAGAGCGCACACAATTCAATATTTGGCTCATTAATGTCTAAGGGTAGTTTCGAAGAGGGGATGAAACTACCATACATACTATATCAAAAACCCATAACATTTAAATGATTGCTTTTTCGGAACACCTATTTACTATCTACATACATATATTATGTGTACTTAGCCGTCAGAGTAGTGGCAGAGACAATTTGAAATGTACAAGAACTTAGATAGTAAAGAACACGAAGGAGTGAATACTAAATAACCCGTACAAAGTAGAGCACATGCAACTGGTTTTAATTGGAAATGTTGGCTTGTAGTTGTTGGTGCAATTGCAGCCAGATGAATGTTGAACATTTTGTTATCAAATTAAAGCCCCTAAATGGTAGCAAAGTTTGGGCACAGACTCTGAACTTTATTTAATTAAAAGAATCGAAATCGAAATCTAGAAAAACCCATTAAGATTTCTTTGCGTGATGCACTACATTAATTACTTGTATTGTTAGTATTATTTTTCTTTCGTACCAGCATTATTAAAACTACAATTATTATTATTTTTGTTTATATTATAATTGTTAAGTCAAGGTTACTTCAAGATGTAATTGAACTAACTTACAAATAACCAAGTTAAATTTAGACTAACCTTTTAATGTGTCTTCCTCTTTCTCAAACAGCTTAAAAATATTAATAATTACAAGTGCACATTTCTGAAAAGCAAAAACATTAAAAAATATTAATCATTTATTGAATTTATGAAAATCGCATAGAAGGGCGATGTTATGTGAATGAAGGGAGCGAGTTGTCTGAGCGAAAAAATACGATTAGGCGACAATGAAAGCGAAAGCTAATGATTGTAAAATATAAAGTTATTAGAGATAAATGCATATTAGTTAGCATGGGTATACACAAATATATTAAGAGTAGTAAAGTGTATCAACACCTTTTTGAAATAGGACAATCGACAATCAGATAGGATTACGAAATCACTTATTTATTTACAAATTTCTTCGAAGAATAGCGTTTTACATATAAAGAAAACTAATCAACTACCTTATTTTCTAGGAGTATAATATGTATACAAATTTTAACATGTAATAGATTATGATGTTTTTCAATATATATTTTTCTATATATATATATATACAATATATATTTTTCTATGGGCAATTTAATAATAATTTGACTTTAGAAAGCCTTCAAGTAAATGAGAGACTGTTGATGACTGTTATTTTACTATACAAAACTGCTAATTGCAGGGTATTTCATATTCGTATCAGATCTCACACCTCTCGATATGGCTGGTTGCCCGTCCGCTTGGCTGCCTGTCTGGATTGTATATCCTGGTCTTTGTGTGGCTTTCATTGTGCCCGTCCTGGCTCCACCTGTTCTACAATATATACAAAATGTAATGATGCTCCTGGTTGGTATGCTCCCGTTTCCACATGTAGGCTGTCTGCCAGCGGCTGCTGTGGCGACAGGCGGCACAATAAAAGCGTTGCACGCACTATGCAATATGCAACAGTTGCAAATACGCAGACGAGGCGAGCGGCAATCAGAAGCGGCAAAGAGCTGCGGTTGGGGCCGGAATGAAGCCAGGATAAATGCACACTTTATGTATGGGTGTGTGTGTATGTAAAATAAGTCGTTGTGTAATCTATCCATGAAAGTCGCATCCGTTTTGCATTTTGTGTGCTTAACGCATCGTTTGGTCGCGCAAATTGGGTTTCACTGTTGTTGTGGTTGTCGCTGCTGCTGTGGCATCTGCTTTTGTTGAATTTCTCTCACAAATAAAGTGGAGCGAAAATGTTGACGTTACCGCTGATTGGATATGCTTTTGAGATGCCCGCACATCAATTGTGGCCAAGGCTCAGCTTCAGCTGCGTCTTTGACTTTGACTTTTAGGCCAGCCAAGCGGATTAACTGTTGCTGGCTTTTGTGCTCCGGCCAAGTGCCAATTAAAAACTTTGACACTTTGTCCGCCTGCTCGGTCTGGCAATTTAATTAGCTAAACCTAATCAATGGCTGTCCAAAATGTTTCGATTGTCATAAAAGTGGTCACAGCCAAGCAGAAAGTGCAGAGAGACAGATAGATAGAGCACGCAGTCAACTGCAGATACATTATATACCCACCACTGGCTGAGATGTACATTCATATCTTTTATATGCTATGCACTCGTATTTAGCACAAGCTACGCCTGGCACAGCATACAATTTATGCTGCAGCAGTGTGGCATGGGCGGCAGAGGGTGGGCTGCCTAATAGGATTGCGGCTGTAATTTTTGGAACTTCAGTTTTGCAATCTTGAAATGTGTGTGCCGCATTCTCCCGAATGAATTAATGCAGTTAATGCACACAATATTCTCTTGCTTTTCGACATAGCAAGGAAACTTGTCCATAGACCATGCACAACTGTCGAATATCATACTGCAATTAATACATATATATCCTTAAAATATCATTTTATGCGTGTCTCTATAAATTTCAATATCTATCTACCATATATTTGCTTGTTGACAAGCATCTGTCTTGCTCACACCAACGAAAATTTGAGGTTTGACAAAGTGAGCGACAATTCTGATATACATATACACTGTCACACGCACTTCCTACATACATACATACATAGGCGTGTGTATTGGACGATAAAACACACAAAAAAAAACACCTCCAAGTGATTAAAATTAAAGGGGCAACACATACAACAGCTTTTATACCCTATCAGAAGGCGGCAGCCATAAATTATATATGTATATTTAGTAGCCGGTACTGCCAGGCCTTGCCCGTGGAAAGTTTTGTGATACAAATTTTAGATACTGCCATTCCACCTGGTACACGCCCGTGGATAACTGAAATCTACCCGTAGATTGATCTCCACTTCTATTTCTAGAACTGTATGTTTAACGACCGGCTATGTTATAAGCATCTTGAAGTGGCCTTTTGATAAGGGTCTTGAAGTGGAAAAATAAACTTTCCTTTGAACCACATTTTTCATCCAAGAGCGGTGAATTTTACGAAAACGTATTAAATAAGTTTTCCTAAGGATCTTGGAATTTGGGTGGAATTTGAAAAGCCACTGCAACACGTATTCTTTTAATTTGTATGTAGGGCTTTAGCAATTAGTTTGAAGCTGATTCGCACATTTAGCCCTTCATTCGCACTTATCATAAAAACAAAAACAGCACAAATGTTGTTGTTGCAGTGCCGAGACCCGGCGCAACCGGGTAGAAAATTTAAATGTCAGAAGGCCATGGTATTCTAATCAAAAGATAACGCACACGGCGTATCATAAAGTATGACGTCACTTTTCATAGAATTTTATTTCTGTTGTTTAGTATATATTTCTACCTTTTTTATGTACATTTAAATAATTATTTAATGTTGTCTTTTATCATAAATAATTCAGTTAAAAGTCTAATAATTTACTGTACGAAACGATCACACACGAAAAGCCTAATGCTATGACGTCATATGCAAACTAAAACTAGGATAGTTAAGCTTTGTCAAGATAGCCTCTGAGAGACAATGGAGACACTTGCTTCATTGTTTGAGACATCTTTAAACACAATTTCTATAAATGTTGTTAAAAATGTCCATTATATATTCCCGCAATTTATAGACATCACAAAATGCCAAATGGTCAAGCTAAAACATGGATTTCCTAAATACTGTTTTTAAAAACAGAAAACAATTATAAGATCGAAGAAAACTAACTTTGTGAAACAAGTGTACATATGTACACTACATACATACATACGTATATGCAATATTCACACATAAAAACAAATACAAAGTTTTAATGCTTCAATCAGGAAAGGTAAGCTTTGAGGACATAAATTAAGTTAAGCTAAATAAGCATTTTATATGTATACACGATTAAATAAAAAGGTTATTCAATACAAGTAATAATAAAAAATGAATTACCTATTTCTTGGCAGCATGTGTACATACATACATACATATGTTTGTATGCAGTGTGGAGCAGTAAGAGGAGCGATCGGCGGCCAAGTAACGGTGCTTGCATGAGAGTATGTATGAATGTCGCACAGGCACAAAATAACTAAAAATCGTATTTGCACACGCCAAAAACACTTTTGCCATTGTTTACATATTTGCACAATACATCAAACCGTTATTATGTATAAATATTAATAAAAAAAACACCGAACATTAATCATTTCATTTTTAATATGCTCACTTTCGCGGGAAACACTGCAACAGCACTTGCACAAAATGGTCTGCCTAATATTACAGAGCTGCACAGACTGTTGGGCAAAATGTTAACATATCGATATATCGCATGTAACGATGCGATTACACTCACATTGATGCTGCCTATCGACGCCAGCTGCAAAGAAAACGGCGGAAAAACTCAAAAGAAACATACAAAAGCGACGCCTGCTCAGTGTGCCAAAAAGAAGGACGCAAATTAAAATATATATTTACTAGAGAATTTTTCGAAACATAAGAAACCAAAAACTCGCTGCCAAAATGCCGCGCACAAAGATAACAAAAAATTCGAAAAGAAATCGCGAGGCGGCCAATCGTGAGGAAAAGATACGCACCTACGAATTAAAAATGGATTCCGTACTGATGAGCATCGACGACTTGGAGATGCGCTACAAATCGATGGTGGATACACAGCTGCAGATGATCACCTCGCGGCTGCAAACCGAGCTGCGCGAAATGAAAATGTGCGACTTTCTGGAGCTGCTGCTCACTCTCGAGCACTTTTCCAACTTCAAGGCCAGCGATCAGACTCAGCATTTCGGCTCGCAATCCATGTGCAGCAATACAACAAACGGCGGCGGCGCCAGTACCAACATCTGCACAGCCGCAACAGCGACCAGCAGTCGCAATGATGAGGGTAATCTTTCTTTCTTTGTTTTGAATTATTTTCTGCTTTTTGGTGGCGCGTTCTCGAACTCTGCTCTAATTTTCTTATGATCCTAACATTTGTCATCCTCACGCACGCACACACGCACACGTACACCCATACATTTGCTGTTGGTCTGGTCACACTCTATTTAGGCTACCTTACAGAGGACAGCAGCCTGGGCGGTGCCATCAGCAGCAATAGCGTAAGCACCATGTCCGCTTACACTGGTTCCATGCTGCGCTCGGCCAAGGCCATGCGCACACCTGGACCGCTGCATTCGGCGCGTGCGCGTCGCGAGCGTCGCAGTCGCTCCGCTTGTGGTGCCTCCAAGGTGCTGGTGAATACGAGCAGCGCTGTGGCCAGCAGCAGCAGCTCGAATGCGCTGCGCAATTCACGCAGCAAGATGCGCACACCGATGGCATCGCGTCCAAAGGCATTTAGCGCAGATCGTACGCCGCGGCTTCTAAAGAAGCGCTCCTCTTCGCCATCCACGCCGCCCATGGCCTTTCTACGCTGGCCCAAGCCCGGCGAGGTGGCGCTCTCCAAGTTCGGCAGCCCCATTGTGTCCCAGGTGTAAGTTATTTCCCCTGGAGCATGCGTCTATCAGCTAACTAAATTCGGCCCTCCTTCCATTTGCAGCATGCCAGACAAGTTTGCCAATGTCAATATACCCATACGCAATGGCGTATTATCGCTGCGGCCCAAGAAGTTATCCGAGATCAAGGCGGATCTGTTAGAGAATCTGGATGCGGACACTTTAAGCCAAATAAAGACATTGCATGAGAACTTGCAATTGATTGTTAACACGGCCAACAAGGCCGGCTTCAAGTAGCTCCCCAAACGTCGAAAGCCTACAAACATAAATCTTTAATCTATATATATATATATATGCCTAATCTATATACATACGTATTTTATGTTCGTTTAGTTTAAGTTCAGTTCGCAGTTGCTAATCCATTTTTTAAAGTGTATTCTAAAATTAAATTTGTCCCGAGTTAATAAAAATTCAAATGTTCAATCGCAGCAGGCGCAGAAGCTGTCAATTCTCAAGTCCAAGCATTTAAAAACTGTTTCAGTACAAAGTCGAGATGCCACGCACCAAAATAGGCAAACGTACCCGTCAGCAGTTGCGCCTAGATGCGGAACGGGAGGAGCAGCTGCGAATGGCACAAATGAAACTGGAGTCGGCGCTGGAGAAGATCGATGAGCTTGGCAAGCGCAGCGTGCAGCAGGTGAACAATCAGCTGCAGCTAATACTGGCGCGCACCCATCAGCATGTGCTGCAGATGAAGTGGAGCGAGTTTCTCAAGCTCAAGCTGCACCACTTCGAGGACTATCAGTGGATAGGTTAGTAGCAGCCATCCCTTTTAGAAAATCCGCCTCTAATAAAGACTTTCAGCGCCCAAACCTCCCACGAAGCGCAGCCAGTCCATTACGCGCAGCGGACGCTTGCGCACGCCACAGCAGCCGCTGTCGGCGCGCCCTCAGGTACAATCCGTGGACCGAGGCATGGCCCGGAGCGCCGTCTTACCAGCTGTGGCCCTGTTACGCTGGCCCAAACCGGGGGAGGTGGCTCTCTCCACGGGCGGCAGCCCACTGGCCGTGCAGACGTAAATAATGAGCACGCCTATTACTACTCCTCAGCTCCGCTAATTCCTGTCTGCTGTAGTTTTCCGGATCGCTGCGCCAACGTGCATATACCGACCAAGCTGGGCGTGCTCAAGCTGAAGCCGCAAAAGATGTCCGAGGTGAAGCGCGAGGTGCTCAAGCAGTTGGACTCGGCTACTTTGAATCAGATAAAAACGCTCAACTCCAATCTGCATATGATTGTCGACATGGCCACCAAGTTGCGAAAGCTCTAGAGGATTGGCAGGCAGACAGTCAAGGATCTTGTTTCGGTTTACTCTTATTTCATTAATATTTTATTTAGTCTTTTTCATTTTCTCATTTTCAATGTTTTTTTTCTCTTTTTGTTAAACATTAAGTGTACGTGTTGCTGTTGTTGTTGTTGTTGTTGCTGCTGTTGTGTTCTTGCAATTTCATTGTATATTTAATTTACAATTAATTAATAAATTTAATTATTCATAGATTTGTAAGTACAAACATAAACGTAGCGCACATAATATTAATGTTTAAATTGTTTTCATTTGTTTAGTGTAAATTCAATTGAAAGTGCGTTCCTCTCTGAATTTCGCCTGATCTTTACACGAGAATTACATTTACACACGTACGTTTATTAATTAATTACTTTAGAAATTAACCATTTCATGAATTACTTATGTACGTTGTTTTGCATAACAAATGTTTTGTGAAGTGTTGAAATTTTGTTGTTTTTTTTTTTGTTTCATGTGAACCTTTATATAATATGCAACTGTGTTTGTGTGTTTGTGAGAGGGTGAGTCGTACATAGAAATATAATATATAGCAAAAAGGTACATAGACTTACACAAAATATGTCTGAATTATCATTTCTTAGTAGTTTTTTAGAGAGAGAGAGAGAGAGAGACATAGACAACATATAAACAGTGACTGCGACAGTGACAACAACACAATATAACATTTAGTTTTAATCTTTAATTTTTTGTTTGTAACATTTATGTGGCTTGTATTTGGGTTCAAGTTTTGGGTGTGTTTCGTATATCCTAAGTGTAGCCAATTTTATACACTGAATTAAATAAATATGCGCCCAATCGAATGCCTTTAAAACGATGCCTTACATTGTAAATTATGCTCCTAACAAAATAAGTCTTTCAATATCCATATTTAATCCGCAATTTTAAAAACCATTTGGTTCCAGTTTGGGTCCGACAACATAGGTAAACAGGAAACAATAGCGTATAATTATGTGCCTAAGTGTTACGAAACATGTCAATACTTAGAAATAAGATGCATATGTGAATGATTTGAACTGAAGTTTGCTCGAAATAAAACTAATTTCATTCCCATGTACGTATTTACCTTATCCAATGCCTACCGAAACTAACCTAACCTCGTAAATCAGTTAACTAGGCGTTCCCCGAACGCGTCTAACTACGCTAATCCCATTCTCAACCGTACTAAAACTCGATAGATACCACAAACTTGTTCTGCTTTCATTTCTAGGTTATCCTGTTCGACTATTTTTTTATCAGTATTTTTCGGTCTTTTTTTTTTTTGTTTAACACAGCCAATCAACAATAGATCCTCCCAGCTTTTCCGATACGTAATTCCATGCAAAATCTCTATATATGTACAGCAGCAGACATAATAACTGTAAAATGATGTACAAAATTTGGTAAAGGTGTTGTTATACTTTTTGTTGTAACTGTGAAATGGTTCCTAAGTATTCTCGCGTGTGTGTGTGTGTGTGTTTGTGTGTGTATGTGTGTTCTATCATGAGTCTATACTCTTGTAAGCCTTGTGTATAAAGTTCTAATCCTTGTATTGAACGTTTTTTATGGTTATTATGAATTTGTTGTTTATACAAAATTGTGCTATGAGTTTTTTTGTTTTTTCACTATTTTGTTTTACAAATAACTATTTGTTTAGGCTGTTGTTTTAGAATTCGTTATAACGTTGTTTAAATGCTAATTAATATATATTTGTTTTTGTATTTTTGTATTAGTTCTTTTGGGCACTACTTATTACGGTTCAGGGCTTCTTTGTAATTAGTAAATAGTATTTTTTTTCATTTTATATTTTTGTAATATTTTTTTTTTGTTTAACAATTTGTTTTGTAGGCTTATGCACGGGTACAGGGCGTTGCATTTTGTATTTTTTTGTTCATATTTTTTTTCATTTTATGGTTTCATGTTTAATGTATTTTTTATTTTGGTACAAATTTATGGTACTAGGTTGCATAAAGAGAATACGAGTATATACAGTAAAAATATACATATAAAAACAGAATGGAATTATTAAAAAGTCGAATGCATATATACAATTAATTAGTAATAACTTATTTATAGATGTGCTTGTAACTAATTAAATATATATATGTATAATATGTATGTATGTATCAAAATGGAAACTGTTAAATGTTAGTAATATTTATGTTTTTTTTTTTGCTGTATAATTCGTAGCTAGCTTTAGTGTTGTAATAAATTTATGAAATTAATTCTTATTATGAATACGAAAGTTTATGGTAATTTTGTTTTTTTTCTTCATTTTTTTTTTTGTAAATATTTTTTTGTTCAATATATATATGTATGTATAACTATTTTGGTAATTTAATATATATTTTTATATGCTTATAAATTAATTAATTTCATTAAATGCTTAAATTCATTAATGCACTTTATATGTACTTTTTGTGTTGCTGTGTGTGTGAAATTTGCTAGAATCTGTTGCCAAGTCACTTATCTATATAAATATATATTTATACGTATGCAATGTACTTGTTAATCATTCAAACCTATACTAAATGCAGTATACTTGTGTATATTCATTTCTTGTTTTGGTTGAGGTCCTATTCAGTATAAATCAAAGCTACGTGAGAACCAAGAGCAAAGCTGAAACTTGGCTTTCGACAATATCTATTTACCCCCGCAGAAACTATTATACTCTTCCCATCAACATCATACATCTATCAAAACTAAAATTTGATAGATATTAGATAAAATGGGTTAAGATAGACGTAAAATATATATTTTAATTTAGAGCATCTGCAAGGGTATTAAATCGTCGGCATGTCGTATATATAGCACTTATTTTATGATTTAATTTAATTGTATTAAATGTAGCCTCTTAAAAAAATGGAATTTTAACTAACGCTGTCTCAAAAATGTAATTACTTAAACTACTTATTAAATTAATGTATGTGAAACTCGCGATTAGCATTTAAATACATATATGTACAAATAAATACATATTGTTGTTAATGTTCAATTATATTGTTAGTATTATAATTTTGTGTGGTAACTGGCATTTGTTTATGTTTTTGTCATTTTATTTAGTTTTTTAATATTCTGTTAAGAGTTTATATATAAATTTGTATGTTTATTATAGGTTTTTTGAACTTAACGAGAGGTATTTCTATTTTCCCAAGTGTTAATATCGCCATTTGTGTATACACTTCATTATTTCATAATAATTTTTATCGTTGTTGTCGTTGTTATTTTCTCAGCATCATAATTTGTTAAAGCTTATAAAAAGGAAATAAATGAAAAACAAAACCACTTACCCCATATTTTACTTTTATATATTGTATATAAATTTTTATTTAGGCTTTGTTGCATTTTAAACATATTTAATAAAATTAAAAAACTAATTTTAAAATATTTATATATATATATATGTACCGTAATATTTGTATAGCTTTGTTTTAAAAAATAATATTTATAACGATTGAACCCAACTACAGTTTACAGTTTAAAGTTTACAGATGCGTTTGCGTGAACAAAATCAAAAAATTAATAATAAAAATAATTACACAATATAAAGGAGAAACATTTAAAAGATTTCTCAGTAAAGTTGAAGTAATTGTGATATGCTACATAAAATATATATATATAAAAGAAATGTTGTGTTATCGATAAAACGTTGTTACAAATTAGTTTAAACAAAAAACCTGTAAAATAGCCTTCACATTGAATTGCAACGACGACTTTTGTGCAGTGCGCGCGCTTTTCTATCTGCTTGTTAAAAATTATAAAAATAATTAATTACGTTTAAAGCATTATCTGAATTATCAATTACAATTTCGTAAATAATAATATATGTATGTAATAGTGAAAATTATATTTACAATTCCAGTTACACAGTTACGTGCAGCTCAAAATCAAATAGCATAACAAATATACATACATATAACTAAGCAAAATGTTTTTTGTTTATCAAATTGTTGTTGTTGTATAAAAATTGATTTAGTATCCCAAATAGTTGTTCATAAAGCAATCGCTGAAAATGATATGGATGTATGTATAAAAACGATAGAAACGTAAACGTTTGGGAATTGAATATAATAAAAATCGTATAGAAATATGTCTAGGGAGACGATCTATAGCAACAAATAAGCAACATTAGTATATTATAAAATTTAACAAATTATCACACTGAAAAAAATTCAACACTAATTTTAAATATGTATACATATACATATATATGAACGTTTAGCATATATGTATATATACATATGTATAAATCTGTGTGTGTGCTATATGCTTATATAGTTCGTTCAAATTGTATACGTTTTTCATTTTGTTAATTATTTTAGTTAAACGTAACACTAATGCCGTTATAATTTAAAGCCGATCTCGCTTGTATTTTGTTTTTTTTTTGTTTTTGTTTTTTAGATCTTTAGTGTTATACATATTTCCATAATAAACAACAGCTTGAAACGTTGCGCCAGCCGCAATATTAACATGCAGTTTCTTATATATATATAAATATATACATACATATACATATGCATGTACATATATGTATGTGTGTGTTTTTGTATATATAGCATCTTAGTCTAATCTTTATGTTTAAACGTAATAAATATGTTTTTTTTTGTTTTTTTTTTTTTGTATATTTTTTAGCAGCTTTCAAAATATTTAACTATAGCTTGTTATTTAATCATTTTTCTTTTTTTTGTTATTTTTTTAGACGAGGTTCCCATTTTTTATGCATTACAATTAATATTTGCTAGTGTTAATAATAAATATATTTGTGTATATATACATATATATTTGTTTTTAACGTTTTGGCTTATTGTATAGTGCTGCTAATATAATTTAAATTTTACATATACATTTTACACATTTCTAGACGTTCGTTCGCTTTTGTTTAAAATTTGTTGCAAGCCTGGTTTTGTTTATGTTTTAACAAAAATGCTGCGACTTTCATTTCATTTAGTGTTTTTTTTTTCTTAAAGGAAAAACGTTCTGAGAGCCTTAAATGCGTTTGAAGAACATGAATTGTTGTTGTTGATGTTGTTTAGCAGTTGTTGTTCTTAAGTCCTTGGGTTTTGCTCAGGCTCCTTAGGGTCACCTCGTGGCGCTGCTTGTAAAGAAGTCCGCTGTGTAAGGAAAAAGAATCTCAATTTAGCTCGAGCCCCCACATATATGTATATATATATATATATATATATATATATATATATATATATATGTATTTGTATACTCACGCGTCTCGAAGCTAAAGCCCAGCGTTGGATCTGGCGGTGTGTTGAGCATTGGATTGCCGCTGCTGCCGCTGCCAGTGGGCGTGACATTGCCCATGGAATTTGTACTATTGCCGCCGCCAATCATTGGTCCCTGTTGCAGCGGACTCTGCGGTGTCTGACCCCGTTGTGCCACGCCCGCACCGCCAACGCCGACAACGCCGCCCGTGGCTGCCGCAGCCGCCTGCTGGGCCCGCACGCTGACCACCGCGCGCAGCTCCTGCTTGACAAACTCCGAATTGGCATTGCCACCAGCTACGCCGCCGCCGTTGCCAGCTGCAAGAATGGAAGAAATGCCAAGGATTAGTCTAGTTTACAATTGGTCATGGCCAACGCATATTTCAACCCACAACAAAAAAAAAAAATGATTTTTAGTCACAATTATAGTTGAACTTAGCTAGACATATAACATAAATAAATACACAACAGACAACAGAATACAACATATAACACATAAATGTAATATAAATAATATATTAAATATATAATAAAATATACGACACACACTTAAATGTTGAATCTGGCGGGTAGGTTCGAGATCAATGTTGCAAATAAGGGGTATATATAGGCGAGGGTTTTTTTTTAAAAAGTAAACATATAATAATTTTAAATTAATCATAATTACATGAATTATTCACTTGGGCTTTTTTGGAAGTACTTTGCATAAACTATATTTTAATTATTTAGCGTAAATAGAATTCTTGTTATTTAAAAAGTTGCTTTTAAATGCTATAAATAATAATATTATATAGCTCTAAAAACAACTTCTATCTTATTTTAATATTTAGGTACTTATTTTAATATTTTGTTTATACAAATTTTCTTTACTTCAATCGTAACCTGACTGAATCCTTTCATTTCAAAGCACTCTCACTCCATTATATGGCCATGTGAATAGTTCATATAAAAAAATATAATTAAGCCAAAACTAAACATAAACAATACATATAAATACATACGTTCCCCAATTTTTATAGTGATTATATACGATTTTGTCGATTCGGTTCTAGGGTCTCAGCTATATCTAAAGTCTTTACATGGGTTAATACTGTGGGTGGGTGCAGCGCCTAAAAACTAACCGTTTAATTAATTATACTCAAATATACCTAGGTTATATACAAGATCATATATAGTATGTGGCATAGTTATACGATTATACAAAACACGCAAATGTGGTTAGGCAATAGATGTGTGTTCTGGGAGCCCCAAGGATTTTTGTTTGTTTTTAGTTTCTATGTACAAAATGTGTGGTTCATTTTTGGGTAATTAAATTTGCTTATTTATATATACACAATGATTAGCACGAATTTTTGATATGCATATGCATGTACATATATACATAGACACATATATGTAAACAATATATGTATATGTATGTATGTAGGGCATGACATGTGATTACAGCGAGCGCATGAGAGCGAGCAGAGAGATATATATGTATATATATAGAGAGAGTGAGAGAGAGTTCAAGTGTGAGCACACGGCTTACCGGTCTGCGCTCGACCATAGAAATCATTCGCCTGCTGTGCCTGACCATAGGCAGCGAGGGCTGCATAACCGCCGCCGCCGCCGCCGCCACCGCCCAGCCCTATGATGCCGTTGCCACCGCCGCTGCCCATGCCGCCCACGCCCATCATGGCCGGATGAGGGGACATGCTCATGCCGTTCATCAGCTGTTGCTGCTGCTGTTGTTGTTGTTGCTGGTGTTGGTGTTGGTGTTGTTGCTGTTGCTGCTGCTGCTGTTGTTGTTGCTGCTGCTGTTGACTAGCGGCGGCAGCTGCACTATCATTGTGATTGCTGTGGTTGTTGCCGCTGTTGTTGTTGTTGTTGTTGTTGTTGTTGCCAGGCGACAAACCGAAACGCGTTGAGCCTGTTTCGGTTAAGCGTTTGATTTGTTTGGCTTTGGTTAAAAACTAGTCAAATATTAACAAATTCTGCGTGTATGTGTGTGTGTGTGTATGTGAAACGGTGTTGGTATGCGCGTGTGTGTGTGTGGGTGTGAAGCTGTTTATGTATTGATATTTAGTACAGTAATTAGGGCAAGCGGCATGTTGTGAACTGGTTCACGCTGCATGGAATCTAAGTAATTGTGTGCTTGGCGCGTTTTGGGGTAACAATCTTGCGTAGCTGAAACAAGTTCATTTTAAGTGGAACTAGTTCATTTCAATTGTAACTAGTTCATTTTAAGTGGAACCAGTTATTTTTTAGTGGAACTAGCTCTTTCTTAATTGGAACTGGTTCTTTTGGTTAATAGAGTATAGTTTAAAGTAATGCGCCATTTTAGTGACACTCTTAAGTATTTATGTAAAGTTGGAACTAGCTCAGCTTCATAGTTAGTTACATGACTTTAAATCTAAGCTGGAACTAGTGTCTTATATGAACTTCATATTTTAATCTTTCAGCGAATTCATTTTGAGCCTATTTTAATTAAGATTTTGGATATATTTAAAACTAACAATAACAATTATTAAAAGTAACAACTCTTGCAGAAAAGCATCCAATATTACACCATATTTTTTTCAAAATGTTCGTTCATTTTTAGAGCAAGTTCCACCTTTTTTGTTAAAACCAGTGTTTTTTTTTACATACGATTGAGATTATTATTCGCATAGCTTTTGAACTGGTTCCACTTTTATTTAGTTCCAGTTCCAACAGAAAATCAGTCAGCGCGTTTTAGTCAACTAGTTCCGCCTACATTTGAAACATATTTCAGTAGAAAAACTTTTGAACTAAATTCAGTTGGGCACTCTTCTGGGTCGCAAAGGGAGTATCACTAAAACTAAGCCTAAGTTTCGATGACGGCATTCATCTGACACGCAGACTCCGGCTGGACAAGCCGGCACAGGACAAGCTCCATGGTGGGAGGCGTTACTCACCTGGCAAATGTTGCGTCGCCTGCGGCACGCTGCTCTGCCGCTGCAGGCGCTGCAGCTGCTGTTGCTGGAACACATTGGCCGCTGCGCTGCCGCCGTAGGGTGACTGTGGGCCGCCAAAACTAACGCCCAGGCCAACGCCACCTGGTCCGGTGCTGCCATCGGGCGTGGTTGCACCGCCGCCGCCCTGAGCCTGGAAAGAGTTCTGCCGCTGCAGTGCCGCCGCCGCCGCCGCTGCCGCATTGTTGCCGACGCCGACAGGTCCAACGGCGCCGGGTGAGTTGAGGCCGCGACGCTGCTGGCTCTGCTGCTGATACTGACGCGCATTGTAGTTGCTCTGGACATCACGGAAGGACATTAGTGGCGCTTCATTGGGCAAAGCAAACTCTTTGCTACTCACCTGCAGCTGCGCAATGAGCAAGGGATTATTGTGCTGCTGCAGTGAGCGTCCGGCATTGCCGGCAGGCAGCGGTCCACCCGGTCCGCCAACAGCACCACCTGCACCACCACCAGCTCCCGCGTTGCCACCGCCTGTGGGCCACTGCTGTGGACTGTTCTGCATGCCAGGCGATTGCAGGCCGGAGCCACTGCCAAACGGCGTATTGGAGCGTCCGCCGTCGCCCGCCTGTTGTTGCTGTTGCTGCTGCTGCTGCTGCTGCTGTTGCAGGTACGCCAACTGTTGCTGCTGCTGTTGAGGATTCTGCTGCTGCTGCAGCGGCGACAGACGCTGTGCATTTTGAGCAAACTGCGGCGCATAGCCTGTGTAAAGCAAGAGATACGCATTTAATATGCTAATACGAGTGATTTGCGTTCTGTTACGCACCTTGATTTGGCTGCGGACTGTAGGGTGCACTGCGCCCGGGGCTGAGCTGCTGCTGCATCAGGGTCTGCGCAAAGTTGGGACTCAGTTGCGCATCCGCTGGCAGATTGGTCCTGGAGAGCGACACATTAGGCGCCACAGTTGTGTTCATCAGTGAGCCAATGTTGTTGATGCCCGCATTGATGCCAGCTGAAAGAAATAGAAATTATAAGTTTTATTTCGACCGATTCTTCCTATTAGTCTATATGATTAATATGTTGTTTATCAGTTTTTGCTCAGGGTAATAAATTTTGTAAGATATGTTGAAGTAGAAACTTATATCTTTACTTTAGATCGATCGATCGTTCCTATTAAAACTATTTAGCTGTCAGTTCTTGGCAGAATATTGGAAGCAGAAGCCAAAAAGTGGTTTATCCAAACTCTTTAATATATAGGCACCTATCATCTAGCTCTGATTTAACTACTCACTGGCATTTTCGGGCACCAGCAACTGTTGCTTTTGCTGCTGCTGCAGCAGTCGCTCCTTTTGCTGCTGCTGTTGCTGGCGCATGTTGCGCATCTGCTGATTGGGCAGCACAACGCCACCGCCGGGCGTGGCAACGGCATTCATGGGGCCGCGATTGCGCACCGGATACATGGGCGGTGGGCGTTGAAAGGGCTGATTGCGCATGGCCTCCAGCAACTGTTGCTGTTGTTGGCGCAGCAAGTGCTGCTGCTGCTGCTGCTGGTTCTGTTGCTGCTGTTGCTGTTGCTGCTGCTGTTGTTGATGCTGTTGCTGTAGACTCAACATGCCTGGATAGGCAGGCGGCTGCAGATGTTGCTGACGTTGCTGTTGCTGCTGTTGTTGTTGTTGCTGCTGCTGCTGCTGTTGCTGCTGTACTAGCAACTGTTGCTGTTGCTGCTGTGACATGAGCAAATGCTGATTTATGCCGCCAAACGTGGCAATTTCCACATCGAGCATCAACGACTTTTGTATGTCACTGATGGCTGAAGCCTCTGAGGGAGCTGCGGGCACAATGGGCGTGTCATCCGTATAATAGTCCATAACGCTGTCCAGCAGCTTGGACAGCTCCGTATCGGGCCCCGCAGCCGCTGACGTTGAGGCCGCTGTGGTAAGTGAGGTAGTTGCTGTGGTCGCCAGCTGTTGCTGTTGCTGCTGCTGTTGCTGCTGCTGGTATGCAAGCTGCTGCTGGCTGAGGTAGACATCGTTTTGCTGTGGCGTTGACTGTTGCTGGTGCTGCTGCTGCTGTTGCTGCTGCTGTTGTTGGTGCTGCTGTTGTTGCTGCTGCTGCTGTTGTTGCTGCTGCTGTTGTTGCTGTTGCTGCTGTTGCTGTTGCTGCTGCTGTTGTTGCTGCTGCTGCTGCTGCAACTTGCGCGCCCGACTATTAGCTGCTGCCGCCGCCTTGGGTCCGGTGCTGCCGGCGCTAATTAGGTTGCCCGGCGCCGCCAGCGAGCTGCTCACATTGTTCACCGTGGAGCTGGTTATGTCCGGCAGGGTTTTCACTTGTAGCGGCTGCTCCGGATTGGGCGCTTTGGGCAGCTTTGGCGGATTCTGGAGCAGCTTCGCCAGCATCTTGTTTTGGCTGCACAGCTTGCTGGGCTTATCCTCGGAGCGCTTGGCCGAGATGTCGTCGTCGGGCTCGTTGAGCGAACGCTTGCGACTCATGGCCGGATCGCTTTGGATTTTTAGCATGCGCTTGAGATCCTCGTTGCTCATGTTGCCGCCACCGCTGGCACCGCTGCCGCCCAGCATGCCGTGGCCAGGTCCATGGTTGCCGCCATCATCCTTCTGCAGCTGACGCATTAGCTCGCTCTGCCGCGTATTGCTAAGGACACCGGGGCCGCCCGGGCCTGTGCCACTGCTGCCATCATCCTCCTCGCTCTTCTCGTTTAGCAGCTGCAACGAATTCCAAAATCGGTTGAGCATCATTTCTGGCAACAACAACTGTTCACTTACCTTCAGCAGCATGGGATTCTGTGAGTTGCCCGCCTTCTGCAACAGCGTGGCACTTCCGCCGCCGCGTCCAATTGGTGGAAATAAGCCCATTTGACTCGGCTGGCCGCCCATTTTGAAGCTGCCCGCTGGACCGCCAATTGGCCCGACATTGAGCTTCTCATCCTCGCTGCACTCCTGCTTAAAGTACTGCAAGCAATTCAATAAAAACATTTTAAGTAAAACAACAAGCTCCGATTATTATTAGGTATTTCAGTTATTCCTCAGAGAATAAAGTAATACAAAGTAGGCTATAAACTAGCTTCTAATAGGCTCGGGAAGGTGATATTGAAATCAACTTAAAATGTCTTGGAGCTTAATATAAAATGCCAATCCCAGCGATTTAGTTCGGAACCAGTTAAAAACTTCTTAGAGTCTTATTTTAAGCTGTTCTTTTTTATTGGAATACAGAAATTGGAATTTTTAAAAGCTATTCATAAATGTTAAAATCGAAGTAGGAAAAATTAAATAAGAAACCTATTATCGATAAATACAAGTTTATAATGATAGTGATGAAAATGTAAAAACTAAAGATTCCATTAGATGCAATTTCTAAATATATAATTAAATGTTAATTATAAAAATTCCCAACATAAGCTCTAATAAGGGCATTAAAATTTTTTTTCTTAGATTTTCGGAGAAATACTAAATATCCAAGATATTGGTAAGTGTGAATGAATTAATCTTGGACATGTAGTACTTGTACTTTAGTTTATGCATTTATAGACAGGAACTGCTATCAACTAGTTCATCAAATAAGAACTAGTTGCAGGAACTAGGCACAAAATAAGCTCAAATACTGTCAATTTAATAATTAGGCACAAATTTAATTGCACAAAATTCAATCAATTACAGATTGAGCGACTTACCTTCTCCTCATCTCCAAGACCGCCGCCGCCTAGGCCACTGGCCAGGCTCTGCGATTTGGTCAGCAGATGACGCAGTCGCTCCGACGATTCCTGCAGTGGTGGCGTCTGTTGTTGTTGTTGCTGCTGTTGTTGATGCTGTTGCTGGCTGAGCAGCAGGCCGCCGACGCCATTTGGCAGACCGCCGCCCATAAGCGCATTGTTGTTGTTGCTGCCATTGTTGTTGTTGTTGCTTTGCTGCTGCTGCTGCTGCTGCTGCTGCTGCTGTTGCTGTTGTTGTAGCTCTTTGTCCGGTTTGGTGTCCGCCGGATCGTAGGAGTGAAAATTGAAACCGTAGCTGCCGCCGGCGCCGGCGCTGGCATTTGACTGCGGCGAGGGCAAACTCGCAGCTGAGTGCGAGGACAATTGATAGGGCGTGGCCGGCGAGGCGCACACCGCCGGACTAAATCCATGCCCCGAGGGCGGACGCGGTGTGCTGACAGGTGTCGCAACGGAGGCGCGCGAATTGGGCCGTGAATCGGTCCAGGCGCCAACCCCACCGCTGGGATCAATGTCGAACGAGGAATGTGCAATATCAAACTCAAACGCATCGCTGCCATACGTGAAATGCTCTCCGGGCGCCGGCGAGGCGGTGAACGCATTGACCAGCGTCGCCGCCGAGGAGTTGGCCGAGGAGCCGCCGGCATTGCCCAGACGCTGTTGCATGCCGCTGCCATTGATGATCGCCGAGCTCATCAGCGGTCCACCCACATTGGTGGTTTGTGTGCTGTTGTTGCTGCCGCTGCTGCCGCTGTTGCTGTTGTTGTTGTTGTGCTGTCCGCCGCCAACGAGGCCGCCGAGCAGATGTGTGGGCAGCAGCGTTTGCGCCACCGAGGATGTGGAGGAGCTGTGCCCCAGCGCCTCCATGGAAAGCGTGTTGACCAGCGAGCTGGCCAACGAGGCGCCCGGCGACATGGCGCACATTTGGCTCAAGCCCAAGCCGCCACCCACGCCCACGCCCACGCCCACTCCCACGCCTACGCCCGAGCCTGAGCCTGAGCCCGTATTGTTGCAATTCATATCGTTCTCGGAGTTGAGCAGCGTCTGCACGGACATGATGAAGTCGCTCTCGCCGGGCGTCTGATTGAGGAAGAGTCTCGAATTGGCCTTCACATGGACATAGACATCGGGTGCGCCGAGGCGCAGGCGAAATGGACGTGATATAACATTCGATATGGAGCCAGCATTGGTTGGACCACCGCCAGAGCTGCCAGGTGAATGCACGGCAATCGATTCTTGTATATCCCGCAGATGCGCCTTGAGCGTGGACAGATCGTGCGGATGGCACAGATCCTGCCACAGGCGGCCCACCCACGTCTGCAGATGCTGCTTGAACGGCTCACGCAGCGCCGTCGCATCCAGGCTGAGTATTTTGCCATGTGCGTCCAGCTTGAAGGTCATCTGCTCGATGGGCTGCTGATGCACATGCTGCTGCATATTGATCTCCAGCGGCGACTCATCCTCCGGTCGTGTGATCAAGCACAGCACTGAGCTGCTCGCATCGGCGTCATCTGCAAGCGGAAAATAGTTTAATGAACTGTTCCAGGAAATTGCGGCGGGATTTGTGAAACAAACCGAACGACATTATTCTTTTCTTTCTTTCTTTGTTTTTTTTTTTTTTTGATTGATTAACTAAAACGATTTTGATATGCGCTTCGTTCTGGTTTCTAGTTAATATCTTGCTATTTCTTGTATAATTTTTCAAATTTCTTATCATTGGGTTACTCTCATAAAACAGTTGATAATGCTTTGGAAGATAAGAACCCCCAGTACTTTCATACAAAATCTGACAACTTTAATATTATATTCCGTATAAACAGTTTTTGTTCGAAACCTTAAGTATAGTTTATAAGATTATATGTTTGATTTCCACAGTATGCCATGTTTATTTCAATTCTCTAATACTGTCAACAGAAAGTTCTTCAATTATTCCTAATATAAATTGTTGCTTTTTTAATATGCATAGAATATACACGTTTTATGCATGCATATTTTTAGGGTCAAAAAAACCAAGATAATGTATGAAAAACCCTAATCTCTCCTGTGGAAATCAATTATATTATCAGAATTCGATAATATTTAAAGTTTAGCAATATATCTTTTCTAATAAACCTTTATTTTACAACTTTTCTAAAAAGTTTTTTAAATATTGTATTAAACAACTTTTCAAAAAGTCATCTTTTTTATTTGTCTATCTCTAAAACTAAAACCTTTTTAGTTGGGATAGTTCTTGGACTCACCCTTTACTGGCGCCGCTATCAACACGACCTCTTCATACTTGTCCTGGTGTCCGGACTGCCTGAGCGGCTTCTGGTCCATGGCATCGCAATTGGAGGAGGTCTGTGTGGCCGGGCGTGTGTCCTTGACTAGCATGCGCACCTTGGTGGAAATGCTGCGTTTCGATTTACTTGCACCTCCGGCGCCATTGCCAGCACTGGAACTGGAATTGGAGCCAGCCGATTGCTGTGAGGCATTTCCATTGTTCAGCTCATCGAGATCGCCCCAGCCGCCAGCCGAGCCAGCGCCTGATCCGTTGCCTCCTCCACCGCCTCCACCGGCGGCTCCTCCACCGCCTGGTCCGCTGCTGCTGTACATGTTGTTTATGATTGGCTCCAGTTTGGCGTGATCCCCCGCATAGAGGTACATATAGAGCGGCTGGTGGAAGAGCTCCTGCTTCTCATAGCCGATCAGTTCGCGTATGTTCTGCGTGCAGGACTCAATGATGCCGTTCGCGTTCACCTGCAGCAGGACCCAACCCACCGAGCTGATATAGTGCTCGAGCGCTTCGAAGTAAGCGGATATTTCAGGCACTTGACCGTTCAGCAGCGATGGCTCTGGCAATGGTGGCTCCGTTGAGGAGACCTCACCCTGTTGCACAGGGTGTATCGAGCAGTTGTCGGTGGCACAGCGGGTGCAGCGCGTTGAGGTTGCTTGCGGTTTGTGGCTATTGTTGTTGTTGTTATTATTGTTGTTATTGTTATTGTTGTTGTTGTTGTTGTTGGTCGTTGTTGTGGAGTTGTTGTTATTATTGGTAGATGTTGAGGATATATCACGGCTTTGGCCTTTGTCACAAATATCACGATACTGCAAAGGCAAAATTAATTCGAAATTGATTAAGAAGGATCGTTTGCAAAGTATTTTTTAAAATGATTTACAAGAGGTTCGATTAGTTATAATGATTTAACAACTTGTTGAATGTGTAATTGAAATTCAATTTATTACTTCTTATTAATTTACGCCATTTTTAGTATGAACTTCAATTATTTGTCACGACTGTGAAAGTGCTTCAAATGAGTTTTATTCACTTATACTAAGAAAATATGATATTCGTTAATAATAGCGAAAATTCGTAGTATAGAGTTAGGGGCGTTTTAAAATTAGATTAAAGCCGAATCAATATCCAAATATTTTTCTAATTAGGAGTTAAAAGGTATACAAACAACATGTTTGGAGATATTTCGAGAATGAAACATATGTATATCCGCACGTGTTCGAAAAATCTAAATTATTCATATATAGAGTTCATTTAAAAAAGTTAAAAATTGTATATGATACAACGCAGATTATACATACTTTTATTGTATGCATGTGTGTATGCAAAGTATGTATTTATGAACACCTTTTGTATATAAAACATCTTCGTGCATATATTTAAATATCACACATTTACACATCACGTTTCCACATTTACACATCTATGTATGTGAAAAAAGTTCTGACATGCGGAAGTATTCTCGACGAAGCTCTTTTTATGTACTACACATAAACAAAACCAAAAAAAAAAAAACCGAATACAACATTGAGCTTCACTCAAAATAATTATTGTAGCTGGCTTTACGATCGACATCGTTTGCCGTTGTTATTGTTTTTGCCAAGCTTTTGCGAGTGCTAGGAAAAGAGCAAAAAGCTCCCGTTGAATATCGTGCGTCGGCGTTTCGCTCATTGTGTGTGTGTGTGTGTGTTTACACAATAAAGTGCAATAAACCGCATTTCATTCCATTTCTTTTGAGTGTGAGTGTGTATTTGCGTGTGTATGTGTGCGTGTTATATTTTTACTCCACCAAGCAAATTTTGCGCGCGCGTTTGAGCTTTGAGTCATTGACACACACACACACACACACACACACATACAAACACGCACATATGAGCGCGACTGCACGCACAGCACAAGCACAACAAAACTCAACAAGAGAACTTCAATGAAAGCACAACAAAAAATTGTTTTCCAATATTATTGTTTGATTTGAAAAGTTTTAAGACGTAGTTCAGACACACGAATTTCACAATTTCCACAACATTCTCAAGGTCAATCAACTTGAACGTGTCAATGGCTCGCTCCATCACTCACTTTTGTTTTCTTTCTATATTTTTTTCTGTTGTATTGCATTAGCATATGTACATATACAATGTATGTATGTGTGTGTGTGTGGCACTAAATAGTTTTCGGTTTTAAATTACTCACTGTTAAAATGCTGCTGACAAAAAAGCAGCAATTAAAAAAATCACAGAATCGTTGCGCACACTCAGCACTGTCACAAAGTTGCCGAAATACTAAACACACATTTTTTGATGCAATTGTATTATTGTATTAAAAAAAAAAGAAGAAACCCGAAAACACGGCGAAAAATACACGAATACAACAACAAAGAAGGCAAAAGCTGACGAAGCGTTGCTCTCTTTCTGGCGCTCTCACGATATAACATACTCTGATGTTGCTCTCCTGCCGTTTGTTTACCGGCTCACGTGTGATACGTATGCGTGTATGTGTTTGTGCGAGAATTCGTATGTGTGTGCATTGTTATCAACCATTGCCTTTGCACCTTGTGTGAGAGGGCGTCGAAGAAGCTGCCGCTGGTGCTGCTGCTGTTGCTACTGCTGCACGCAAATAATAACAATAAAATATGAAATTGCGATGTGCGACGTCATCGCCAAAAAGCAAACGCAGTTCGTTGATCTGCCAGTGCAATCGCGAGAGCGCAGAGCGAGCTTTTACTTCTTTTTGTTTGGAAGGAAGCTCACATCTGTGTCAGTGAGTATAATTGTGTGCGCGTGTATGTATTGGTATATGTATGTGCGACAGCCAACCAGGAAAAGTTGCTCAAGCAACGGGCACACAACATTTTTTTTTTTGGGGTGAAGGCACTCCGAAAATATCAGTCAAATGATAAAATAAACAACAACAACACGAATCGGGGCATGCAATGACGAATATGTCTAAAACGTGTCTGGACTTTTTGTTCTCAATGTGTGCGTTTGTGTGAGTGTTTTTTTTTTGTTGCGGGCTTTGGCCTGTAGCTTCAATTGATCGCATCAGGTAATGTGCGAATTTACGAGAGCTTTTTGAAAAACGCAGATGCAAAGCAACGCACACAACAACAACAAACAGCCAGCCAAAAAGAAGGGAAAAAAGGGGGTAAGTATTATCTGCGACCTGAAAAAACAATATGACGTTGGGCTTTTTATAAACTAGTGGATGAAGTGTCACAGCCGTAGCCATCCGAAATTAATGAACAGACTTTTTTTTTACTCAAAAACAGACCTTTTAAATTTCACGCAATTTAAGCAGATCTTTTTTAAGTTGATCTCTTTTTACTACTGGATTCAGTTTTAGTTGTGTTGGTTAAAAATTATGGTTAATTTTTAATAGGATTCTCAAAAGCAGTTCATGAAATATGCCCGTCTTCTAATGGTGTGTTTAATATCTCCTATACTACTTGCAAATTTCATATTTCTCATACAACACTCTTACTCTAGTGTTTAGTTACTTACTAAAACTTTAATTGTCTACGATTTCGAGTAATTTCTATAAGGTCGTAGGTGACGCACTAAAATTCAAAATGAGCGCAAAGAAAGTGTTGCCAAAAATAAGTTCGATTCTCAGGCGCTAGCTTTTCGCAGTCGCACTCAAATATTTACGCTCAGACTCTAAAGCTGCTGAGTAAAAATGCGTCGCTGAGTGAGAGCATCGGCAGTTCAATCGACTGAGCCCGGCGCGCAAAGCTTCAGCTTTCTACACTCTTCAAGCCGAACTCAAGCCGATGGCAGGCCGGTGGTGGCATTTTGAAAAGAAGAGCAAAACACAATAGCGGCAACAAAACAAAAATAAACAAACGGACTATGGGCAGCTTTGCTTAAGCTTTAGGTGGAATGTTTAGGTATCTAAGAATTTGGCCGAGGTCTGTAAGAAAGTTGTCAGCTTGCAGGCAAGTTTGCATTGGAGTATATATATGAGCTTCAATTCTTATAATATTAAGGATGTACTGTTAAAGGAGTGAAGGATTTTGAAAAACCCATTAGTTTTATTATGTATGTAACTGGTATTTAGCAAATAATTTTTGCTTGAATATAACTAATATTATAACATCTTTGATTTTGCTCATTTTTTATGTTAAAACTGAGCTTCTATTCGCTTTAGTTTATCAATAAAATATCTATTCGCTTGGCTCTCTTGGTAATAAAATTTAGACCACAGCTGCAGGGTTCCTCATTGGCAATAAATCAACTCAGCGATATACGGATTTAATTGAATCTATTTTGTAATTGTACACAGAATACTTCTAATATAGCGCTAATGGCGAACTAACCTAATAGTGCTGTACTAAGCCATATTAATTGCATTAACCTTTGTTTAGTTTAAATAAAATTATGTATTATGTATTTTGTTTGTTGTTGGGCCTTTTGAATGTTGTTGTTGTTGTTGTTTTTGTTGTGGTTTTTGGTTTTGTCGCTGCCGCATTTCATTGAATTTTGTTTTTGAAGTTCGGCAGAGCGTGGCGCTTATAATTTGCATAATAAAGTGCTTAGGCTACCTGAAACCAATAAAAGAAATACTCAAAAAAAGTGAAAAAAAGAAAAAATAAATAAAAACAACGAAGCCTAAAATAACATGACGAGACTGAAGCTCGCTGCTAACCGCGTGTCGCTGTCAATGGAAACATAAATAAATTTATGTAAATTGAATAAAAATATTAATTAAATTCTTGCAGAGCGAAATGACGTCAGTCAAAAAAGTCTCTTTGGGTCCTCGGGCAACCGGCTTTTATGGCTGTTCTAGCTTATTTGTGTAATCTTCCTTTCGGTTTGAAAATAATTGCTTTTTAATTGAAACGCGAGTGTCGAGTGCCAAATAGAAAAACTGCATGGAAATTACATTGGGGATTGGTGATTGGGGATTACAATATTAATTGATCATTAGCTATTCCAGGCAGAGGGGCCTAGAGTTCACGCACGACAAAGTTGTCTATTAGTTTCATTTGATGAGTTTTTTGATTGATAGATGTTGTTAGTTTGGGTTTATTAGACAGATAGATGGATGAAACTTTAAGAATTTTTGGGTATCACTTACCGTTCGAACCACTTGATTTAATATTGCCGCCTTATCCGGTTTCGTTGATGTCATATCTCCACGCTTATTGAGCTGCAAAAACTCGGAGAGCTGCTCAATGTAATTATTTTCCATTTCACGTCGGCGTTTCTCATTGTTGCATTTGTTTATCTGTGATTGAGGCTGCAAAAATGCAGTAAATAAATTCAATAAAATTTATTAGAGATTAAATGTTATGTATTTAATAGGATTTCTTTCAACACACTTAGTACTAATTACAAAAGCTGAGGGTAATTTTTCTTCCAACAGACTAAGTACTAAAGCTGAGGATTAATCTTAGAAAAGCTTTGCATGTGCTTAAATCGAACTTTTAAAGCTCGCGCAAAAATACTAGTGTTGTATAGCGCTAAAAATAAACTTTCAGAACGTCGTGCTATTTAATGTAAAGCTTTTTATATGCATTATAAAATGTTTTTTGAAATAAATCTATTTCATTTGATTTATATATACTTACATATATATGTATATTGAAAAGGCATAACAGCTTATCAGTTCTTTATATAAATCAATTTATTTGAATTCTTACTGGCATTTTCGCACTTAAATATCTCTCTATTAATTAATGATTTCATGTTTTCTCCCTATATCATCCTTCTTATTTTATTCTACATTTATGCAACAGCGTATTTTCCAACACTTGAGCGAATATGTTTACCAGTTTGAAAGCTCAAACTTTACGCTAGATTAAATGTTTTTATGCATATTTTTAAAGCTTTTTTTATTCCCTTTAGACTTTAATTTGTCGACTATTCGCTGGATTTATTGCAGCTTTAAGCTCCACCACTAAATTTAAGCTTCAATTAATCTTAACGCTTTCTTACCCCAAACAAGTTGTGTACTATAGAACATTATATTTTACTGTGCTGCTAGATTAATCGCAAGTTAAAGCTCCACTGCCCGCTTTCAGCTGTGGGGATTGTTTAAGCTTCATTGAACTTTAAAGCAGTCTTCCAGCCTAAGCGAGTTATTTTTTAATAGAATTTAATTTTCTAGTGTGCTGTTGGATTAAACGCAACTCAAAGCTCCACTCTTTGATATTAAAAGGGACTTTACAATTGGCTTTTGGTTTATCGCAGTCATCTTGTCTCATTACTTACCAAATTAACTTTTGTATCCGTTTTGCGGCGTATCTTGCGACCCGGCGTCGCTGAGTTGGCTGGAATCGGCGATGCCACCGCATTCATAATGGCGGCCGATCGCTGCAGCGCAGCTGCAATATGCGCCGTTGCGGCGGCAGCCGCTGCCTTGCTATGATGCGAATGATGGGAGTTGAGCTGTTGCTGCTGCTGCTGTTGCTGCTGATGCTGCTGGTAGAGGAGCTGTTGCTGCTGTTGCGGCAGCGTGAGCAGATTGTTGGCAGCTGCTGCTGCGGCTGCCGCAGCGGCAACTGCTGCTGGTGAGGGGGAGGCGCCTGTAACGCCCAATGCGCCGGCAATACCAGCGCCTCCGCTCGCTGCCGTCGCGCGCTGCAGTGGCGTGCTGGGCGCCAATCCGTGTTGCAGCTGCGCCACCGGTGCCGGGACGGGGCCCGGGCCAGTTACCACGCTACCGCCAGTGGCTGGGATTGTAACGGCTGCGGTCGCAGCGGCCGGCGATGAGCGCGGCAGATTGCAAACTGAGTTGCTGTTGTTGTTGTAGCTGTTGCTGTTGCTGTTCGTGTTGCTGTTGATGTTGCTGCTGTGCTTGTTGCTTGTGGCTGTTGCTGCTGCTGCTGCGGCTCTGCCGTTAGTTGTTGCTGTACCTGAGGCCCAATGATCTGGTAAGTCACCTGGGCTAAGCCTGTAAAAGAGTAGCAATTAAATTGATTTAGACATTAGTGGAAAGTTTTCGTGTTCATTAAATTTCGCAAATGTTGCGGCCTTGGCCTTGGCTTTGTCTGTGGCCCCAAACGCCCGAAACAAAATGCAAATACTTTGCACATAGGCCTCATTCTGTGCTCTCTGCGCTAATGTGCTGATTCGATTACAGGTTTGTATTATCTAATACATTAGCATTTGGTGAATCGCAAAGAGAGGCTGACATTTTGGTTTGTGTCTAGGCTAAGTTGATAATGTGTACAAATATTTACGCAGCTTATAACTAAACTATTTTAAGTAGGTTGTATGTTTTGTTTTATATTAAAATTAAGTATTTCATTACTTATAGATCTTTTTTAAAATCAATTTAAAATTGTTTGGGGTATTTTTATTTATTTATTATTGGACTTTTTACTGAGTAAATGGAAAATATTCAAATAAAAGAAAATAAGCAAAAGCAAGTATTTGCGCATTAGCAAATGATCAAAAAATAATTTTTCAGTGTTGCCAGGCAACAATGTCCTACCCGCTGACTTGTACAGATTATAACAAACAAAATAAAATAAGTCCAGGCATCGCAACGCCCGCTGTGACTGCCACCACATGCCACACCCATTGGCCGCCCATGCCACATTCACCGCAACGTGAGGCAAATAAATGTTGCCAGTTTTCGTTGGATGCTTCCTCTTTGCTCTGGTCCAGCAGCAGAGCCCAGAACCTGAGCCCGACCCACAGCCCGACACTTGACCAGACCCACTCTCCGTGGACTTCAAGTGGTCATCGTCGTCATTAGCATTGGCTGCTGCTGTTGCCTTTGGCATTGTCATGACTGCCTTTTGTCTTTAAAATGTTATTTTTTATTTTTATTTTTTTTTCTTGCATGTATTTGGTTACGTGATTAATTGTTTACTTTGTGCGCCCAAAGTGTGGCATAGTATTTGCTTTTTATTTACGTAAGGACCACTTGAAAAATTTGTTTGTATTTTTCTTTATAATTCGGATTTTAACGCCACTTTTCAAAACGGAAATTTTAATTGGGCCTGACATTTCGAACAGTATGCGGAAAATGTGGCAAATATTTTTGGAATGAAAATTTAGAAAACTGAGCGAACTGGGCAGCTATTTTATAATGACATTATTGGAATTTCCCTTGATTTTTAAATGTTTAAATAATTTCCAAAGAAGAAGAATAGCCTACGAATTGTTTTTTAAAAATGAATACATATTTCTGCATTGAAGAATTTTAATGAGAATTAAACAGAAAGCAAAAACAAATTAAACAAATTCTTTATGTGAAAAATAAAAGTGTTGCGAACTTTGTGATGGAATTAAAAGTCAAAGATAAATATATCTTTAATCAAAATTTTATATTGTATAATAATGTTCAGTTCTGTTCAGTTCAGTTCTTTCGACTGAAGATTTTGTTGAATTCAATTAAAAGAATATTTCTATAATCATGGCTTTGTATTCTGTTCAATTGTATTATTAAATTGTTCAGTTGTTTCACTTGAAGTTCTGGATGAGATAAATCTGAAGAAGAAGATGTCTCTTATTGTCATTTTGTATTCTATTAAAAAATATATGATCCTAACTGAAAAGACATCTTAACACAATTGACATTTTAATTGATTGTTAAGTATATTGTCCAGAAATACGAGAAAATACCAGAAAACTCGATTCGGCATTGAAAATTAGCATGAAAGTGAATTTGAATGTAATGGGCATGAAAATATATAAAAAGTTCACAATTAATTAACAGGTGATTCAGTTGTTTCTCTCTCAGCGTTCGGCAAACAAACGATTCGCATTGTCATTGTGTGTGTGAGTGTGTGTGTGTGTCAAATGTTTGTCGTGTTTGAGGTGAGGCGAAAGTTGTGTTAAACGTGAAATCGAGCGAATCTCTTTGCGATTCTCCGACTACTGACTGGCCTCTTGGGACTGCTATAAATATCGCGGCCCTCAACAGCCTACGATTGATAAGTTGTGAAATTAGCGCTGTGAGCAATGCGATAGCTGCACATAATATACATTTGTGTATATAAATAAATATATATATGTGTAGTTATATATTTATGGCCTGGCAAAGTGCAAATAATGATAAGCACTGCAACAACAGCAACAACAACAACAACAACAACAACAAGACAGCAGCAACTGCATTAATTGTAATTTAATTAATTAACGCTGCGCTTTATATTCGCTGGCTTCTTTAATTAAGCGCGTCAATCATACGCCCCGTGCGCCAGCCACTGCCCAAATAGAATACCCCCTCATCATCATCATTATCATCATCATCATGATGCTCATCATCTGCCTCACAGCTAGCTGGCACATTAATGTGTCACCCTGTCAAAGCAGGCAGAGAGAAAACATTAAAAAAAAGTCAGCCACAGAACGCTAAAGAATCTGCACAATTATTGCGCCTGTCAAGGGAACCCATCCGGTTGCCCAGCGGCGGCTGGTGGGGCACGGAACGTGGCCGAGGTGCTTGTACGTCACTCATTTTCGCGCTTATTGCATTGGGCGGCCATTCACAATTTTTCCTCTTTTTTGCCTCTTTTTTTTTTTTTTTTGGCCAGCTGCCCGTCACCTCCACCTTTGGTTTCAGCTCCGCTCGCCCCTTGACTCTGAGTCAATGCATACTTTTTTTTGTAGATTCTTTAAATACCCTGCACCTTAGCTGCGAATGGGTGGATTGATTAATAGTATACAATAGCATTTACAACATGCAACAAGACTTGGCTTTTATAAATATCTATATATTGTGGTTGAGATAAATTTAAAACAAATAAGATAATTTATTTTTTAAGTATTTCCAGTGAAATTTTGTTTAAAATATGCATATATTTTTGATTTCAAAATATAAAAAATATTTGTTAGATTCAGTTTTTTTCATTCTGGATAAAAAGTCAATGAAAAATAAAAGCTCACTCACTCAAACACCTTAAAAATAAATTTAAAATAATAAAATCAGCTACCTAAAACTTATGCAATAATTCTTCCCCTGTTTGAAAACTGAGCCTAATACATAAAAAATAAAAAAAACTTGAAACTTCACTTTTACAAGAAATGATATATTCTATCAAATCTTCTTTCAAAGAATCTTTTCAACTCTTCCAAATTTCTAATTAATTCTTTCAGATTTTCAAGTAAGTGTCAATTGTCAAGGAATAATTTGACAAATTACCATGTAAGAAACTATTTTTTTTACAGAGTATCTTCATGTACATCATAAGCAAATACTGTGTTTAACCCATTCCTGCCGTTCTGCTCTGCTTTATGCTGATTACATCGCTAACTCGGGGCGTCCAGTGTCTGTAATTATTTTTGCTTGCATTCGCATTCGCAGTCGCAATCTCTTTGGGACTCGGGCAAGGCTTTTATTATGCATATAATGTAATTAAAAGGGAAGTCGGGAAGTCGGTCGCTGGACACTAGCCACTAGTTGCCGGGTGGTCTCCCAGGTAAGCTACAGATATCAAAAACACAAAGCTGAAAATTTCTTAACGCTTCGCTGCCAGGGAGTTGTCTTTCAAGAGTGGAGTTGAGATGCAGTTGAATTGACTGCTGGAACACTTGGCGGGCAGTTCAGAAGCGTTTGCTTCGCATTGTGGGCGGAGAAGTTGCAGGTGATATGAAAACATGAGCATGGGCGTGGCTTAATTAACTGAAATCAATCGATGAAATTTCAACATGAAGCCAAACTAATTATTTGCATTTCTCACAACAAAGCGCAGTTTACAAAACAAAGCGTTTTATGTTAAAAACTCCCTTATATTAGGGCTTCGATATGACTAAGATTTGTTAATACAGCTCGAAAGTAGAGTTAACAACGATTGAGAGTATATTTAATTACTTGGAGTAAGAAAAGTTTGCAAATGCGGCTTGTCAAGTTTTACGCTTGGTTTAAGCTTAAATTAGCTTAATTTAAGGTTTGGGTTTAATATTGCTTAAATAGTTTTCATTTTTATTTAATAGAAAAGGTTGTTAAAAACTATTTCAGATTATTTTTAAAATCAATTTATTTTTAAAGTTTTTATAAACATAAACAAAGCTTTAAGCTAAAACTGCTTTGTAGAGCTTTTAACCATTAATAAGCTTTATTGTCAAGCTTTAATATATAAATAAATAAGCTTTATTACTCACAAACGCTACATAATATCATTGAAAGCTCCATGAGCATTAATAGTTGGAACTCTAATAATTGAAATAAATATATATATATATATAATTTATTTATCTCGACTCGCAACTTAAAACTTTTAAACATTTTAAGACTCAATCTGTCACAATGAGCACTAGACAAGGTCGTGCCAATGAATCATAAGAAATGTGCTCGAAATTCTAGATTACATTTAAAATAGATTATAATGGCCACAAGGAATTGCCACCTTAAGCACCTAAGCGGGCTCTTAAGACAAATTGATAATGATAAACATAATGATTATGGCGATGATGACGATGATGGTGATGATGATGCGGGCATAGCTTTGCAATCTGTAAAGATTGCAGTCAACAACAAATTACTCATACGCACTGTATGAAGCAAGGCAGCAATTTTTCTTTTCTTTTATTTCTCCCGAAAGAAGCCGCTGCTGTTGCTTGGGGCAAAGCTTAAACATTTTGTGTTTTATTTATTTGATTTAGGTTTGGTCTACGTGATGTTGGACTTGTAGGCAGTCGCCGCTGGGACGTATTTCGGTAGCTGGGACCCATAATGAAAAGCCCGAAAAAGAAGAGATTTTACGAGCTACATAAATTATGCTGAAATTGTTGAAATTGCGCTGTCTGTGAAAAATAAAACCTGAATTGTGCACATGTGAGCTTTTGAGTTTTAGTGCCAGACAAGGTGAGGCGTGAGTCACAGCAGTTTATTTTTTTCCTTTACTATAGGAATTGCTTCTAATTGATTCAAGTAATTGAATGTGCTGTAACTTGTAGCTCACAAATAGAAAACACGCACGAGTAGAGCTGTAGAGCTCG